GCACCACTGGGCGTTGCTCGAGATTTCAAGTTAGCTGATTCACGAAATAAGCCGGCGTTGTTGACGAAAGAATGTGGTGGGATTTGTACAGTTGTTTCTGTTAGGAATCCAAGCCAGTAAGCCGAGGTGTGTACTCAGCTTAAAAGCAGACAATAATTCGATTTAGCGATTTAGTGGTAAAACTGACGTTCTTCGTTTAACACAGGAAAATGAAGCGGTTAGTTTTATTACATAAGTATTAATGAAAATATAACTCGTAAGTGGACCACTAAACCGATTACAGAACCACCAACGCGATATATGTTTCCAAACTGACAGTTATCTCATAAAATTTGCTTCATCCCTGCCCCTCTGGATCTTGTAGTCAGTCGCGGGACACGATACTAGCGCGTAAGTATCTGACGGCCATCAGTGCTCTTTATTCTGAAAACCCTGCTCCCTTCTCAGGCCTTTGACAATGTTGACTGACGTCGTGGAGTTCATACACCCATCAAAGCCTCGCATCCTTCGCTGCAGCGAATGCTTTTTCGTCTCTCGCCTATGCCATTGTCTAGTCCTCAAGATAGCAACGCGGAGTAAGTCAGAAGCTCACACTTACGCACGTATCATTCTCTCCGAGCCGGATTCGTCATTAATGAGAATAAATATGGAAGTAAAAACATAATTATGAATCACGAGAGTTAATTATACAAAATCCCAACACATGCATTTTATTTAACTAAATATACAGGCTGTCAGGGAGAAAATGTCGAACTTCGAAAATAAGCCTCTTAAACAATTTTTTAAGGGGGGGGCAAATTTTTTTTTTTTTTTTTTTTTTTTGGTATTTAAAAAATTAAACATACGTGGATATTCCGAATTTGTGTCGCGATTATCGAACTACGAATATTCCACATAGATTTATTAGACCAAATATGCTTTAAAATTGTCTTAAGAGCATATTTTCGAAAGTTCGACATTTCCTCCATAAATCTGTATTTAATTAGAAAAATATTTGAATGTGAGCTAAACATGTACTACTGGCACGAACCACCACTGTTCCCCCAACAGCCGATCTGGAGAGAAATTACACACCAAGACGCGTTTTCAACTTCCTTGGTCAGCGGAAGTAGATTATATAAATATTGCTGCTTGAGATTAAGTCCACTTCTCTTGCTGCAATTCTTACCGAAATGGTCTTTGAGATTGATTAACAACTTTTTCAAAATGCTGAGACCCCTAATTCATGACCCTGTTTACAATTCCCGCTTAGTTTATGTTGCTAAATACTGATACGAAGATGCGAACAAAATACATGGTCATGTATTCAATCATGTTTTTGAAAGTATTTCATTTCGCTTAACTCTAAAATTCCAGGTTTTATCATATATCCGATTCCGATTATACTGAACGTCCAACATTTGCCGGTCCATGCTAAGCATAACGCCCCCCCCCCTGACAAATGATGTGGGTCGCCTCAGTGACATTCATTAGAACCCGCTCTTGAAGCATGGGAACGCTGGCCAAAAAATGATATCGAACCCTGTCCGGAAGCCGAGATGAACACCACGTGTCGCTCAACATAATCACAAAAGCGAGAATGTTTGAAAGAAATGAACCAATACCTTCAATTATCTGACCATTGATCAACCATATTGGTCGAATCATGCTCCAAAACACCTTTTCAATGTGATTGCCTTCAACTTTCATTCAACGGAATGTTGTGTGAAAAACAAGCTACCTTGATTCTAATATTCTAGTAGGCCAACGAAAGCCCCAAAATTACTCGACCAATATTTCTGATATTGAAAACTCTAATGAAAGTGGTGCCAGATTCGCACAACTAGTGTTTACGCGACTTTCCACACGCAAACTTGAGATGGAAAAACACGGCATGTTAGCAGACATGCGCATTCCAATTGCCAGGCACACAATGACACATTTGTTTTTTAAAACAAATATATAAAATGAAATCGCGTTTCCTTTCTGAATGCTTTTTTCATGTATCTGATATGAAACATTCGGGCAACTCTAAATTCAGCGTTACAATTAATGTGAGGTGATTTGCATATTTTGCCTTTTTTATTTTACACGCCCTTAACTAGACCACCTTCGTAATTTTTTTGAAAACTATCGATTCAGTTCTTCATCTGCGAAAATAGGAAACGAAAGCCATGAATAAATATCACATTTTGAGATGCACATGTTGACTGTAATTCGCCATTCGGAGGAATTGCTACTCGAATAGGAACCCGAGCAAGAAGTTACCGTAAACGAGCAATAGAAGTCGCAGTCCCCGTGAGTATTATTGATTCAGAGAGACAAAAATGTATCACAATTTCTTAAAGCATATTTCAGCCCGGGGAAGTGATTGTTCCTCCTTCCTGGCTGAAGGATACGGCGCCGTCTCGGCGGTTATCGCCCTCCAAGTATCTCCCCTAGTGGGAAATCCCCCCGCCGGCGAGCTCCGACAATGAACTGGACTTAGCCTCGTCATTCGTCTGGAATTGGCCGCACAATCTCCAGAAAAACCACCGAGCACACCAGCCGACGCTAGAAATCCTCCTCTAGACAGGTGTGAAAGGTCGACCCAGATACACTAAACTCGAAAATTCGCAGTCGCAACTCAATCCCATCACAATTTCCTGTCAACGATGCGCATTGATGGATAGTTGAGTCCGGACGCAGTCTCAACTGTAGGTTATTAGTCCCGTAAGTGTACGATGATTATTCCGAGCAGGCGGCGTCTTCCCCAGTGGATTGGCGAGATCCGGCGCCAGCTTTCGTCGGCTGTGGGTTTTCTCCAACCAGCATGCATCACCTCTCCCGGGACAAGCTCTAGCTCCGACTGAACTCCTGCAGCGTGTGTTGAAGTAAGAGATAGGAATAGACTACGAAGAGGAAAGAAAGATCGAGTGCGGTCCGTGCGCCCGTTTGTATAGAGTACTGCTCCGGCATTCGCCTGGTGTTCATCGGAGAAACCACGGAAAACTTGCGATCAGAGCAGCCGCGTCGACGGTCAGGCGACGAGGAAGTGGCCGCTGAGCTATTGCAACGATGAAGTCCCTGCAAGTATTCTCAAAGTAACATGAATTGCTGTCGAAAAAAATGCGACCTTTTTTTCTTCGCCGATTTTGTGATGAACATGTGTGAAACACCCAACGAAAAATTTTGGAAATATTAAATTAAAATTCAAACAAAAATCATTAAATATTAAAAATAAATGAGATTTAAGGTTCTAAATAGTTTTATTTGGAACGCAAATATTTAGTGATTTTCTTTTCTTTGTTATTTGTTACATTTTTTTAAACTTCGCGTTATTTTAGTTTTTTTGTTTTGTTTTTGAAATTGAATTGATGAGGGAAATATTTTGAATATAAGGCAAGATCTTTTTAATTCTTTGTTTCACAAAATCATTTTGTTTGATGAGTTTTAAAAAAAAATCTTATTTTTGAAAGCACTTAATCCAAAAAAGAGAAAGTCGTAAAACGTGATTCATGAATGATCGTTCTTTTATTAGGCGTAGTTACATTTTGCGCCTCTTTGGTTGCTCTGCTTTCGCTCTTGAGTTAAGCAGCGTAACGCGATAGGCCAACTTTTACTCGACCGTTTGGCCAGGTATAATCGTCTGTAGCCTGAGAGATCCTGATCACCTGCAGGCGCCTTATGTTAATCAAAGAAATTGCTCTCCTGACCGAATCGAAACGCACAATAATGTTGCTCACACCGGCCATTGTTGTGATGAACTGTCACCAGAAAAAAATAAATTTCGGGAAACACAAGTGCCTCCGAGGCGCTTGTACTCCGTGTCGTTAAACCTCTCGTAAGACCCAGAGTAGTTGGTTACCTGTTTGCAGCATTATGGATTTATTGAAATCACACAAAAAACATCTCTCTTCCGTCCGAGTTCTTACGGATCATTGAGCTCTTTGAATTACGGTTATGCATGTTCATAACTGACAATCGAGTATGAAGATATCAAGAATAAACATCGTTTACGATTGGATTGATCCAACACTGTTAATGTCCCTCGATGACATTACGTATACTGGCAGTACAAAGTTAGATGTAAACCAAGATAATGAGTCAACAGTACAAGGAAACGCAACAAAAAGTATTTTCAGTAAGAATATAAGAGCTTCCAAATATAGAGAAATCCTACAACAAAAAAATTTACAAAAAGCACTCCACTGACCCATTCAAATCTTTTTACTTTAATTTAATTTTTTCTCCAAATTATGATAGTTTTTCCATTTAACATGTTCACTTGACATATGGATATAGTGAACTCGGATTACGTTAACTATTTCGGTGACAAGAACTGAAGTCGCTGGCGCGGATCCACACACACAACACACCACATTAATGAATACGCCAAAAAAATTATCGTTATAGTGTATTTTGCCAACGTTGGTTGTATGAACATACGAGTAGTACAAATTCCAGAAAACCTGGTTTTGCCTTTTTTTACCGCGAATTCATAACCTCTAGGTGCGTCGGTGAATTATTTTTGTACTATTTATGGCAAATGAAAGAGTAGCGAAGCGTGCCATTTAGGAATTGCCACAGCGCATCAGTGGCAGTTCTGCCGCAGCCTGAATTCGAGGACGCACACAAGGTGAAAAGTAGAGAAGTCGGATCTTGCAAGGATATTAGAAAACGCAATGAAAGAGTCTCCAAAACACAACACGGTTTGGGTGAAGAAAAAAAAAAACGAAAATTAATAAAAAGCGCCTCCAATCCAAGAAACGATGGAGGTGGTTAGTACCTGCGCTTAGTGGTGATGAATGAAGAAAAAAGTGTGAAGAATGCATAAAAATATTGAAATTTTGGATTCGCATCGATTGGATACTATATTGTACTAATAAAATAATGAAACCGTACTTGAAAAACTCTTATTATATTTCTGGATTATCTTATATAGTGAACCTCTGAGTTTTCCCCAGGTCACGTCACGCCGAGTCGAATATATTCAGCATTTACAGGACCCGTGACGTAAACTATTTACGAACTGCGTGGCTATGCAGCGACCCGTTTACAACGAAACATCCTCCAACGCAGACGACTGGTCTCTGTTGGAAGGAGTTGTGGAATGAGGCCCTTTCTCTAGAGTGACTCGCGCTAAAGTGTTGCGTATTGCCACAAACCAATCGCCGGTTGATCATGCTTGCGACAAAGGGCCCAATAATTCGACCGGTGAATTGCGACTGAATAACCAGGCAGGGAGGGCGTCCCCTTCTCCAGGGGTACACGTAACGCCGCTCGGAGCGCTCTTCGAGTTGGTGGCCTAAAAAGGAGAAAGACAAATTGACCGGAGAAATGTGGAGTACCAGATTAAGTGTTCGTTTATTAACATACTGAAAAAAATTGCACTATCTCCCCTTATGAAAAATCTCGCTATAGTCTCAGAATGCTTCCCATTAAACAAAAGCAATGAATAGCTAGTAACTGAGAAAGTACTTTTACTTACAATACTGCACAGAGATGGCAGTGTTACGAGATGTCTGCATTGTGTTACAGCGGTAAAACTCAATAATGGTTTATATCTGAAGTACAAAACGACTCCATTGGCTCAACGAAGTACTAAACTTTGATCACTTCTCCCCTAGTATATTTTGTTGTAATAATGCATTTATCCATTATGATTTTATATGAATGTAACTATTCGGTTTGTTCGAAAATAAAAACATACTTCGATCAAAAATCAGAGAAAGAAAGATGAGTATTTATCAATACCAGAGCCCGGTAAGAAGAGTTTTTATGCCGAAAATTCGTCGTTTTTTCACGCCGAATTACACGACTTTCTCTCTACTGCGGTAGCGAGAAAGTAAAATATATTTAATGATTCGCTACTCACAACGTGACCGAAGATTTTTCTCGGAAAAAGCTTAATATTAAACGTTTGACTGGCACTACGTCATCAATGTCAAAGCGTTACAGTTCATACATAACATAATCCATGAACTCGAAAGGTGATTGATAGGTAGTAGAAGGTCGAAATTCATTGATCTAAGATAAACAAATCCTAATTTTTAACACAGCGAGGGATATTCCATTGTTTGCGTTCAGCACCCAGTTCCTTCAGCTACGCCATTGATTAAAGTGCTAAAACCCCCGAAATCGTCCGTCAAAAAGTGATCATTGAGTGGTATGCAGCAAAAATCAGAGCAACAGCATTTAATAGCATCTTTTCGCGAACTTCAATGGGCTTTTTAAAAGCTCATACATTCCCTTTGAAAAAATGTGTTCTGCAATCAGAAGTGGGTTATTGTAACCGGAGCCTAAGCAGAGAATAGGGGTATATAACACACATTTTTATATTAGTTCATGAAAATATTTTAATATTACAATTTAGGGTTAATGTTATTTGAATATTAACTACCTGAACCCTTGCGATTTTTTTGCACAAAAGTAAAAGCTCTACAAAGGTGGCAACAGAAATGTATTACACGTGCTCTACGAAAGCCCAAAAATAATATTTTATATCGTTACTCACAGATTAATGAAATGGGAGATGTTAAGAAATTCTGCAACACCAGTATCACTATTCACCGCGAACATAGGGTTAAACATGTTTCTGAAATTCTCAGAGACATTAGAAATATTTACCAATATGTGTACGTGTACGCTATCGATTATAGCAGGAATCCTCGTATCCACTAAACGCAATGAATCACATATAATTATAATCAATTATATTATTTTTGTAAAGATGTCGGATGCACTACACTAATTCACGTTGGGAACTTAGAGCTTGTCCCAGCTGGGGCGGTGCCCCGCTGGTGGGAGATATCTGGTCGGGGAAAACCCTGGAAGATGACGCGTGGGTCGGCGCCAGATCTCGCCATCAAACGGGGGAAGAACGCCGCCGTCTTCCGTGATAAAACGAGTACATTTACGGAACTTGTGACCATAGCAGTCGACGCGCCCGCAAACACGAAATAATCAGTCGCAACAAAACGACAGAACGACCCATAGTTTGGTCATACTTGGCGCCTTGAGTGCAATCATGTGCGCCAAACATTCCGCCTAGAGTGCAATCATAATTTCAATATGCTGTTTGCTGGTCAGTAAGTCGTAGTCTTAGTATGTACTAGTAGTAGTTACCATAACAATTTACTTTTCCCAGTAACCTTCACTCGCCGACAAATCGATCCCAAATATTTGTCTAATAAATTAACCTTCGAAGTGCAACCTTCACGGTACAAGACTTATGCATATGTACGTATTATATGAGGCCTGGATTATACGGAGGTTATCTCAAAAGTATATTACTCATTACATCAAAGATAGTTGACGATTTGTAATGTTTTATTAATTTTGTTTCAATATAATTCATCCTTTACTGATATATTGTTGTCAATTTAAACCAAGTCTGCACAACTCGCACGTTAACATATGTAGGTGGCCGAGAGGGGAGGGGGCGACCAGAGATTTCGGCTCCCGCGGCCAGAGAGCGGGGCCAGTGCGGTAATGACCGGAGACCTTTCGCCGCCCAACCGGCCGCGTTACGTCGAGTTGCGTGTTGCAGCGGCAGCGGCGGCGGCGGCGGCGAAAGTCGGTAGCAGTAGTGGCGGCGACGGAGGCGGCGGCAGAAGGCGGAGGGCGGGAGGCTGCGGGACCAAAGGTCGGGCGGCGGCAGCCCGCGGGAAGGCCGGGCAACCCTATTGCCATTGTTTTTTGTTTTTTTTCTGGTTTCATAAATGTTTTGCTGTTTATAATAGTCATGTTTGTTAAGAGCACTCATAGCATTCATGAGCAATAATGCTGCTGAATAAAAACACACAAAATGTTTGTTTTTTTTCTAAAAGTAGCACGCAAACAGTTGAAGAACAAATAAAAATCTCTGGTAAAACACTGCAACTAATTAAACATTTTAACAAAAATACTCTTCACGAATACTGCAGTAACATAGTATAGTACACACAAACAGTAAACAGTTTTTTTCGTACCAAGAATAAAATAAGTTGCTGTTCCATAATACAACATATGAATAGCAAATATTTAATAAAACCGTGACGCTATTCTTTTGAGAATTCGGTCGATGCAGTATGTGGAATCACACAATCAACTATTTGCATATTTCAATTGAATTAAAACCATTTCTATTTTTTGGATTTTTTTCGACTTCCTGGATATTTAACAAATCCATAGATATATTTCAAATGGCTGAATTCTGCTTTTCTTTCAATTTCTCCGCGCATTTGGAATGAGTAATACACATCATTATATCGTTTCTGACTCCAGACCACGTAACTATTTGCCGAAAACTGTATCTAAAGGGACTTTACTATAGCCAATGGGCCAAATCTTCACAATGCAGTTCAGCTATTCATCACCAATCACTTACGAAAGGGCGAATCAAAACGCCAGCCGCAGCGAGCCTTGGCCAGGAGGAGGACCCCGAGATCCGAAAGTCCCTTCCTTCGTCCGCAATAAATAAATAAAAAAAAGGGGGGCGATTGCAATGGCGCATTAGGCGATTGCAAATGATTTCTCCTTCCCCTTTTTCAATGATCGTTCGCCGCATGGCACTTTGTGTTATTACAGTATGCATTCTAAATTTATACATTAACATATCTTAAAAAAAGTTGATCAATCACTAGTTTGTAGACTTTCAGGATTTCCGACACTAGCTTGTGAGCTAGGACGGATTCAGTCGCTGTCTGGAAGATTCTATCGGCCTACTGCTCTGATCGGTAGTTGTCCGTGGATTCTCCAATCGACACCAGACGAATGCCGGAGCACTGCCCTAACAAACGGGCGACCAACCGCGCGCGATCTTCCTTCCCTCTTCCTTGTCCTAATCTTGCCCCTTAACACTACACTACACTACAACACATGGCGGGAGGCCGGTCCGTAGCTTGTCTCGGCTGAGGCTATGCCCCGCTGGTGGGGGAGATTCTCCGCTAGCCGACGGAGAGTCGGGCGGCTGGATCGCATCCAAATCCATGCGGGGAAGATAACGCCAACCTCCAGAGGAAAATGCATACAATTACACTAACGGAACTTAAGCAGTTGAATTGAATTGAATTGAATTGAATTTAGCCTCATTTTAGTGGCGAGACTCTGGCCATTCAGGCCCGCTCTTAAACCGTTCTGACCACGCAAAATTTCGCTAACGCTCCTTCACCAACGTAGGAGAGAAAGGAATATTTCTTGGGCGAGAACAGGCGATTTGAATTTAGCTCGAGGCGTCATTTAGGCTGAGGATCTTTTACATGCAAGTAAATCTACCAAACATTGGACAGCCGGCTTTACTTCCCCTCCGAAGGAAGGGTACGGAAGGATTTTTTCGCCCCTTAAAAATCGGCTGTTTCGCGTTCAAACCGACGGCTTCGATCGGCGTTTGAACCGCCAACTTTGGGTACAACAGTCCAGACGCTAACCGTTACACAATCGCCGCCAGCAGTTGACGAGCATCAATCAATGTCACATTAATTAATCGACCGACATTTGAGTTCCGGGGCGCCTAGAGGGGGACGCATTGTAAGGGCGTTTGTCCCAAGTCTCTTCTTACGCCTCTCCGTCTGTTGCAGGCGTACCACGTGTGCCATGACGGGCGCGAAGGGCCGCAGGGCGCTTCCTTCCTGTGCACCAACGGCACGCTCTTCAACCAGCACGAGTTCGCCTGCGACTGGTGGTACAACGTGGACTGCTCCCAAGCACCCTCGCTCTACAGGTGAGACTACTCTTCCTCCCTGCGAACTTACGCCCAATAGTTCTTACTTGAACAAATCTCAAAAGGATCATTTTCATTGGAACACTCTCATTCTCAATATCTCTCTGTATATAAAATTTTAAAAAATGCCGCCAAATTTAAATTTTAAACATTCACGGAAATTGATATTAATTACATTTTAACGCGGCGAATTTAAAGCCCTCGCGTTAATTTTGTCTTGAAAGCAATGTTTCCAGATGTAGTAGCCAACACACAAGGGGGTGGTTTCGATCTTGTTTTTCGCTAATTCCACAGACTATGTTTTTTCTTCTTCTGAAAGGCAAATCTAGTGTGTTCGCCCAACCCCTTCACTCTCAGTGTCACGTAATACAATTTGTTTCTTGATGTAATAAATTATAAATAGATTTAACCTTTGAATTGAATATAAGACGGCAAATTTCGTTTTGCATTTTTTAAAATTTTCTACGTTAATACTTATGGAAAAACACTAACACACGATGTCTCATGAACAGGTCATTCAAAACAATAAACTGGAAGATCAATTCTGTAGAAGCCTCAAAATAAAGTGTTTTTTTACTCACAAAAATTGTGAAATATTGGAAATTTTTCCCACGTTGCAAGGGATTATATCATGTAGATCCACATCTCAAGTAGTACGGCAACACGTAGTAGAAAATCCTTCTCAGAAGTATATTAAACAAAATTCTATGAACTGTTGCTATACTGCGATTTATGCAATTTTGTCCCTGGTAAGCATTAGCTGTGGACGGTTTCATTCAATCGGGAGCTTGAACGTCACCATAGTATCGTCACTGTGATGACGTTCAAGCTCCTGAATGGATAAAACTGTCAACAGCTGATACCTGCGAGGGGCAGAGTTGCGAAAACCGTAGTGTAGACGCGACAACATGCTTGCGGCATTCCAATCAATCAATGAATCAAATAAATAGGTTTATTTATACTTTAATACACTGTTACATACATGCCTATGTAACTGTGTTAAATACAGTTTCTAACTCCTGCGGAGCGAAATACTTTTAAGCTGACAAGAAGATTATTGAATGGCTCTAATAGCAAAATACTAGGTTATTGTTAATATAAATTGAATCGTTTATTTCAGAAACCCTAATTTCGAGAAAACTGACAAAAAGTCTTCCAATTTTTCTGATTTCAAAATATTTTTGTTTATTACTACAGTTGATAAATGGATGTTTTTCATATAAATATACACTATACGATGTGTTTATCCTCTTGGAACAATAATTCGCCGCGTATTTTCGATTTTGGCGTTTGACGGGTTTTTGAAATTCATTCAAAACGATTCATTTTAGCTAACTTAAAACACTTGTCAAGTCGATATTTTTTTTGTCACCTGTCATCGTATTTCTTTAAAAATTGCCGTATAGTTATTAACATACATCAAAATTAAGCAACCCAACGACATTTTCTCATCAATTATTTTTCGAGCATTTTAATGGCGAGCCTATCTGGTTTACACGTCTCGTGTTCGCAGCCTGAACCTAGACCCCGTGAAGAACCCGTACGCCCCGAAGCCCAAGCCCGAGGAGGCGGTGCTGCTGCCGCACGGTGGCAAGTAGGCGTAGCTTCACCGGCCGCACTCCGACTTCACATCTCCAGGACACCTTCCACGCCCTATCAGCGCCATCCTACGACGCGGAGCAGTCTTACATCAAGCGCGCCCGAAGCACAACCACATTCCTCCACTTCAAAATCACATAATATACAATTTCTCTGAAAATAATCAGTAGATTTCAAATGAAGAACATGGTCAATGAGAATATTCTCGGACGTTCCCTTAGTTTTAAATATTAAAAAGTCCTTTTTTTTATTACACTGAAACTCTTCATAAATAATTTATAACAAAAGTTTTACTTTCGTAGAGAATGTAGGTCCTATTTTAATATTTCTGACATCTATGGACCTTTCTCACTTGCAGATTGTAAGTCTGGGTCTAGCCTGCCTATTGATTTAAGACAGCTCTTATGACATGTATTTATTTTCACCATTCCCCATGCAATATTCGTTTTTCAGACTGAATGGAAAACTTATATCATAAATTTTTTAAAGCATTATGTACCACCTAAAATGTTATCAAAGTCAATAAATCTGTCCTAATTTTTCTGTGATTTTCAATTTTAAAAAAATCCCTGTTACTTCCCATGTGCATAATTACAAGGGAAAAAAGAAAAGAGAACCTTAACAAGTATAGAAACTAAATAATTCAAAGTGAATGATTGTGGCTTTATTTTCTATTAAGGTTTGGCACATGAATATACAGCTTCCTAAAAGTACCTTTAGGAGGCTACTTTAACACTTTGACTGCAAAACTTCCCTGATTTACCAGTTATAAATTGTTTAAAAATGATCAGAAAACTTCTTGTAAAAATTACCAATATCAATTTTTGAAGCTCTATCTATTGGTGATATCATTCATGGTACCATATGGCACTACAGTTGATATTTCAATTTGAAACTTTTCCATGGGCACCATGGGGTGCCACACTGCCGGTGAAGTTTCAAATGGCACCACACTCTTGGTGAAGGATTGCAAAGGTTTCAATAAGTATAACAGAGTTCAGAAAATTGTCAATGTTCTGAGTATAATTATTCATTTTTGTTGAATGGTTCAAAACATTCAATACATAAATAAGGCTTATTTGGTCAAGTCTTGCATCTTATTGACATTTGACCTTGTTGCCTGCCTTGAGTTTGCTTTAGGCTGTTGTAGTAGTGACAGCAATGTTATCATGCAGTTATTAATAGCTTTATTCATTGCACACTCAAAAACGAATTTCATTTTATGTATTGTATGTATCATCAATGTACCTCTTCCGAGTTTTCCCTAGTGTGTAGTTTAATTCCGCAAGGAAGAGGTTAGTTTTCTTCCCCATCCTGTAGACAGGATCACCGGGTTTTCCTAGCAAACTTTGAGCAGTCTTCCTCTGGAACTCCTCTAGTTTCATTTTTCAGCTGCTACAGCTCAAATTGTACAAAAGCCAGGTATTTACAATACAAGTGCCTAAAGGTACACTACTGGCCACTTTTAATGATACCACCTGACACTCCTTGGCGAAGAATGATATGTAATATCACTGCTCTCTTTCATCTTGTTGTAGTGAACAACCATCTGTGTTTTTGAATTTCTTGCCCTTCTTTTCTGAATTTTCTTGTACCTTCCATTCCATTTAGTTGACATCACATATACTTGTCTTTTGTCTACTTATTTCATAACCAAAATACTGCAATAATTTTCTTGAGATACAAATTTTCCCTTTTTTAGTTTTTTGTTATCTCACGAGGAAAACCTTTTCTATTCTTGATTAGTTCCAAAAAAGTGGGTTTTGTTTTCTAATAAAGTTTCAGCTTGTTTAATGGAGGAATAAAAGTTGTAATTGCACACTCTACTCCACATTATAGATATGGTTCCATATTTACTACTTTTGTAGCCATGCTCCCATGTCTATCAGGCATAAAGCCCTTCCCAGAATAGGTTATGACAACATACATGTAACCATTTTCGCCACACAGTTTGTAAATTTTTATTCCTTATTCTGGCCTTTCCAGGAAGATATTGCCAAATGCAGAGATGACCATGCCACGAAACCATTGACTCATCTATAACAAAAAGGTCTCCTGGAGAATGTATTTGAACAAAATTTCTCTGAATAGCTTTCACAAGAAGCTTCACATTGTCACGCCTCTTGCTACTTTGTCACTAAAATGTCCAAATCTTGAAAGAACTTTAAATCTGTTTCTTGGCATCATTCTTTGTTATTGTGTTTCAGTACAATGCTAATTTGCTCCAATGACTACCCAAAGAAAGCATTTTTCCAAAATCTACCCACATTCTGAGCCCAAGAAACTTTTCCATCTCTTCTTTAGTAGTGTCCTGCCACTCATTTAGATAGCTGGAACGTTTGGATTGAGATTTTTGAATCACTTGACCTGCATTTCTATTTCATTCAACTTTCCCCAACAATCATTTGAATTGTCTTTGGTCAGAAAGTTGATAGAAATCTTGAGGTTCCATTGTCTAAGGATCTGCCTACAAACTAACCAGGATGCTGATCTTTCAGAATTTAACATTCGTTTTGATAATGTTTATGATCAACTTTGTAAGTTAGATTTGAAAAAAGGTGCTGGACCCGATGGGATACCAAATCTGTTCCTCAGAAACTGTGCTGTTGGA